GACTCTGATTATGTTGGTTCTGACCCTTGATCCCAATATTCCACACTATATTGTTGAGGCACACAGTCTGGTATATCTAGCTTGACACACAGCTAGCTATTGATTACTTGCTATTATCAGCAAAAGTTTTTCTCTACAGGTTTATTAATTAGGAATTTATTAATTATTATTTAAAGTCAAAATTATTTAAGATAAATATATTTGTATTTTTATTTAGTAATAATAATGTTGTTATGTTATGTTAGGAGTGTTAAGGTAGTTATGAATTAATTGTTCTTTAGCATGGTCAAATTCTAAGCATATTTATACATCTTGGAATGGTACAAATAATGTGACTTGTATAACCATTTTAATTCTAAATTTAAGCATTGTAACATTTCACCAAGTAAATATTTAAATCATATGAGTAATACAAATATATAATTATGAAAATTTTATAATGCAACATTGCATAATATGTGGTGTAAGCCTTACACTATAAAATGTAGAAATATGTTTGTCAATCATATTTGATGTATCATGTAACTGCTGGGGACCTCCTACCAGTCCTCATTTACTATGCTCACTGCAAAAAGTGTACTGTAAGATCATGCCTGGGTCGCACAAAAACCTCAATATTTTATTTATTTCAACAATAAAATTCTCCATGATTATATATAATCAATAATTTCAATAATGACTTTCACTAATTATTCCAATAAAGATTTCCTATTATCCCCTGAACCCATTTTTCTGTTTCTTGATGTCTTCTTAACTGTTATTCCCTGTATTACCAAGTCAGGTACATATTCTATATAGGGTTTCTATTTGAATAAGGTTTATTCAAATTATTATTCATTTTATTTGTTATGAATTTGAGTATTCAAATTACATTGAAAGTTTATTCGAATAAAACTAATAATTCAAATTAATTTGAATAAAATTTCAATAATTAAGCAAGCTACAGGAATAATATTTTGCAATTATATTTCCAAACATTCAATTAAATAGCCTGTCAGAAAGTTTTTTAA